CCCCACCCCCTTTCGCGCCTGCAATACATTTTCCATGTCCACCTCAGGTACAACTCCAAACAAGGGCAAAAATGCCTGGCCGTCTCACCGCATCAAACTTCGACACCGCACCGGCCGCTGTCTCTCCCAATCGAACCAACAGGCATGCCGCCATGATGCCCGCCCTGCCCTTGCCCGCCTTGCAGTGGAGAGATACCACGTTGTTCTCATCCATGTCCAGCCAAGCCTTCGCGTTCTCGCAAAAGTTCACCACGGACTCCAGGGGGGGGCACGTGTGATCTGAGAAGGGGTACCTAATCAGGTAAATCAGACAACGCGGGAGACGACGAGGGGCCAATAGCAGTAGCGGCGTCACTTTGGGCTTCGTCTAACGCACACGGTACTTCCGCAACGCGGATCCCTCTTGGCCTATAGCTGAATGCCTTTCACGCCCTGACTAGGTTCGGCATTCAGCGAAAAATGTGCACGAACAGCTCTGCAGCTGTGGGGTGTCCCAACAGCGTACTCGCCATGTCGTACCACACGGCAATGGCCTTCCCAAACACAACAGAAAATGCATACGACAAAACAAACCTCTCCACGCGGCCCTGAAAGAGTTGGTCCGGGTACGTCCGGCCTGGCTCATTTGCGAAGTTGTACATCTTGTAGTGACCCCTGTGATACTTTTCGAGCAGTCGCTGCACCTCGGTTCGGGGATTCCGGTAGATGTGCTCTGCGCCGACAAGGACGCCAAGGGAAAGCAATGGCACACACGCGGCCAAGACGCTCACAGGTTAACTTGCATCGGAGTAGGGGCGTGCTAAAGATAGGAGAAAGAGACGCCCTTTTCCGAGGCTACTGTAGACAGAACAGTATAGGATGCAAAAGCACAGCATTCATTCATTCACAGGAAAGACCACCGCGGGCGAATCCGGACGTGGCCTGGGCGATCTACACCTGCTGCTTCTGTTGCATGAAAGTTTGTTTGGCGCATGAGTCGAGTGCACAACTGGATGCCGAACCGCAGTCTACGTAACAAATATGTTGTCAAGCAATAAACCATGTAGTGTGTACCAAGAGCGTTTCCCGTCACAATTAGTAGAGGATCAGACATCGGACGTGGGGGGAATGGAGCACTGCTGTAATCGGTTGTCAAGTCAAAAAATATTAAATTATTGACTATAGACATCGTAAAGCATTACTCTCCGGGAGGAGTATCGCTGGTGCTCACAGTCACAGGAGAGGGAGGCACTGCCAACAATTCGGCGCTGTTCACGTTCCTTGCAAGTCCCACACACTTCAAACTTCCTCGTTCCCAATTTCGGTCGCTTCCTTCTTGGATAAAATGTTGATGTTGCTACCTCAACCATTTTAGTACCGCTTCTGGGTGGACAAACTTTTGCGGGGGGTGGGAGGGGCGAACGTGTCTTGCTCGTGCCTCATGTAACGAAAATACAGCGACGTCGTCAAACATGAAGTATACTTTCATTTTTCTACTTCGTTCAGTTTCAAGAAAGAGTTGCCATCCCCAAAACGAAAATAATTGGGGGACTTGTTGCATCATTCCCAAAAGATGGACTACACATAGTTGATTGACCCTAAGGCCGTCCCAGCGCTCGTGGGAACACTCACCCTGACTACTGTTCGTTGCGATTTGACCGGACTGCTGTCGAGCACTTAGCGGTAATGCTTATGCCTACGCTCCTAGTACCGTTACAATTACCGTAGAAATATCAAGCCGAGAATGGCAGTGGCATTACCGACGGCACTTCATGCTGCCCCCGGAAGCAACCCCTCCCCCACCACCCCGCCCGGCGGCCTCAACCTCAGAGCGCTCTAACGACTGTCCGTGTCCGAGCGGAACCCACCAAAGCATCCTAGTCTGCTCTCACCTACGCCAGTAGAGGGAAAACCGTGGACGATAATTCGGCTCGTCACGTACGTCAAGTCCAAATCGAAGCCGTCCTGAGAGAGAGAACGCAAGCAGTTGAGGATGTGGAGACAGCAGCAGCAACACCAGGTCTTTACCCAAAATATAGAGTGAAAACGTGAAAAAGAGTCTCGTCTCCTCGATTGCAAGGTTAAGGTTGCCCTGGGGAAACGGCACAACAAATTAGGCATCGCAGGGATGCACGAGAGGCTTCAGACGGCACACTAGGCGAGATCCTTTCCATTCCCGCGTTGAAATTTGCCAGAAGTTGCCTCGACGAGTGTACAGCAGTATGTACACGGAGACGACTTGCCCAGAAACATCCTACTTCATATTTTCAAGGGCGGACATTTCCTGCGCGCGCCAAATGCAAATTTCCAGTCCGCAGCCGCGAAGCCGTTTGTCGCAAGCTGCGCTCACAACGAAATCCCGGCGCTGAAACCTCAACATGAAAACCTTGTCAGAAATATTTACTGCACCTCATCTGTGCACACCGTTACGCACTCTTTCACGCCGTCGACTCTTTTACCACACGATGGGCCCTGGAGCTCTAGATACAGAAGAAAGTGTCTTGCCGCTACCTGCTGGAACCATGTACTGCTTTCATGATTGTGCCGGGGGGTTGATTGTTGATACTTCTACTTCGGACACCGGGACGTCTACAACATTTGCTGCATGTGCACCCGGCTTGGATTGTACAAACATACGTCCATCTCCATCGACACAAACGCCACGACCACCTCCGCGCGTTGGCATGGCGCGACAAAGGGGGCGCTGTCGCAGAGGGGCGCAATGCAAAAAACGCAAACACTTACGTTGTTGTCTGCGACACAATTATGCATCGGAAGGAGTTGTTGCGGGGAGGCGGCAAAAAGAAGTTCCCGATCGCTGCCTTGGGTCTACCAAATAGTTCCGAGAGTTCTAATTGTTGGGAGGATTTTTCTAATCTTTGCGCAAGGAGTATTTGCCGTTTGCCCGGCGGGTGTTTGGTGCATCTCCGACATATATCCTATTCGACGACAGAGAAATGGAACTCAACGGGTCCTTACGACATCGCTGGCGGGACATTGTTGCTGCCTCCGAAGACAAGACCGAGCCATGACGAAAATAGGGACAAATCCCCGCCCTGTTGTCGGGGATGTTTTGGGCTGGTTCAGATGCCATGCGAGCAAAACGACCACCAAACCACCAAAAGGGCGGGCACAAATCTCAAAGTGGCCTTGCGTGTTCTGGCGCGGTCGTGGATTCGTACATGCACTTGTACCAAACAAGTCCCAAGCCGGGGGAATGAGAGAAAAACGACAGAAAATGGTGCTTGATGAAGCAGCATGTGTTCGCGAGGAGACGGTAGCTGTTGTGCCTCTTCGATAGTTGTGGATAAATGAACGCAACCTTGTCCATCAAAATGCGAACACCGCAAGGCCGCAAGGGTCGGTGGGGGCGTTGTGACCATGGCAGACAAAAAACTCTGTGCTGTGCAGCGTGGTCTTCAGCGCGCGGCCTTATGGATCATGCAGTACGCCATTTTCTCACCTGTCGATATCTTGTCTTATTCTGGGACACTCTCGCACGGCACGGGTGCAAGACAGCGTTGCAAGGCAAACAACAACTCGGGAACAGACACACCTTTAATTGCGTAGGCGACACATTCGACGGAGAACAGCAGGGGAAAAAACACAGCAGAAAACAGCGGTGTGTATTCGTGTATAAGAAGCGGGTAAGAACTCTTTCCCCTCCGTCCGTGGAGCAAAAAACCTACGTCTCGTTGAGTGAAAACGCTATAACGAGAAGGATCAATCTGCGAACAGATGGCCCAAAACAGACAAGTCCTTTCATGTTAGTGATGGTTTGTGGGCGTGCAGCATATTGCTTGTTGTTGCAACGACGACCAGAGAGGCGGACGGGGATGTAAGGGGACAGAGAAGAGGACCTTGACACTGCTGAATGGAAATATTTGCGCACCTTTCCAGAAGACCACGCCTGTCGCCAACAGTACACTTACCTTCCACCACCTTCGATAGAGCGGACCATCAGCCTGCATGATAGCTCAGCGGAGGCGGCTCGCCACGGCGTACAGGCGTTGGGAGAGACGAAAAGGTCTTGCCTGTCTTGCCCCTGTCTCCTTCCCCGAGAAGTCCGACTGTCAAAAGCAAAAGAGGCTCCGGGCTCGGACTCCCGGCACTTCGGAGTTGGTGGTCTGGTGTTCGCGATCAGGAATTATGGTGGGGTGTGCATGATTCACGGTGCTCCCGTATGCCTTTCCGAGTGGAGTGCAAGTCTTTCCTATTGCTGCAGCTGGGTCTCCTACCTGCCTCTGCAAGACTAGACGGACACAAAGACTAGGGTAGGAAGCCCAGCCTCACCAGGCCAGGGTAGAAGAGGGAGAGATATGCTGTGCAATACCGCGTGCCGGTTGGCCACTAGGTTGGTGGGAAGTAGAGAAAGAGGCATTGTGGCGATAGGCAGAAACCTTGCGGTCCAGGAGGCCGCATCATCGCACTTGCCCTCTGCGGCAGCAGGAGGGTCAAGAGCACTAGGAGAAGCATCAGCGGGTCAATGGAGATGGGCTTCCACGCAGGCTACGCAAACGTCAGTGGAGGGAATCACCCTCAACGTGGATGAGAAGGTCCAAAGGCTGAAGCATCGTATTCCCCAAAAGCGGTGAGTTCGAAGTCTCCCGCATCTGATTCGTTCCCTCGTTGATTGCTGTACATGCTATTTAGTCACCACCTTCCGCGTTGAGAATCTCCCTACAGCAGAGAAGCTGCTGCACGCGCGCACATGGCTAGCCTTGGACTTCTGTTTTGCTGGGGATGGTCTTTTTCACTCGCCTTTGTCCGCAGCATTTCCCTCGCAAAATACACACCTCTTCCCTCTGCCGCCGCACTGCGCCCGCCTGGTTATGGATCATGTACACTGAAGGTCAATCTTGCGCAAACCGCAAGACTTCCACCGCACTCGCAGCTCGCGTGCATACGATACGACCGATTGTTAACGGTATATCCGACTCACTGCTGCTGCTGCGTGATCACATTTTGGTGTGTTGGCTACATGTCTCGCTAGGGCCTCTTTTCTTCTCAACGAGTTGCGTCAGGAGCAGCGCAATGGGGAGCGATGTGAATTGCCAGACATGAAGATTGGGGACGCCGTTGAGGTTACGGTGAGTGCCTCTCTCTGTCTTTGCATCTGCTGGTTGCCCTGTTCATGGAAAACGGCGGTTGCGAGAAACAAACAATGCCGCAGCCACTGGTGGGAGCGTGCGTAGTACGGGCCCTCTTGTGCAGGAAGCCTTTGTGCTTTTACCAGCGAAGGTAGCTCATGGCCGACGGGATGATTACATTGTTGATATTGCGGTCGCCTGCAGGCGACGGATATGTTTACTTACTTCGCCAACGATTCTGACATGTGGGACATCTTGTTCGAATTTTGGTGCGTTCGCGTGCAATGTGTCGTTGTCTCACATCATGCCCAATAAGTGGGGAGATGCTTTCGTGGATACTGGTTACAAGCTTAGACGTGGAGGTCCAAGAGGGTCAGGGACAGCTGAACCCTCGTGGTAGCTACAATTGTTGTTGTTGTTGTTGTTGTTGTTGTTGTCTTCACATCAAAAACCGTTCCGATCTCTCTCTACCCAGTAACTTCGTATGCCCGTACTAATCCAACACTCGACGCGGTCGATCCCCGTGGCCGCAGGCTAACTTACCCTAACAAGGTACACTCAAATAAATTGGCCCCGAGGGGTCCGCAAGTCAAAAGAAATCAACGACAGATATTCTGGAGTCCTCCACTCCCTCTGCGCGCCATGCGAGGTAACAGTTGAGACTAGGGGTCACCATCACAGGCCGGAGTGAAAGAGGTACACCCCTTGGTTCAATCTTGGTACTTCACAACGCAAGCAGAGACAAGGTCATNACTTCGTATGCCCGTACTAATCCAACACTCGACGCGGTCGATCCCCGTGGCCGCAGGCTAACTTACCCTAACAAGGTACACTCAAATAAATTGGCCCCGAGGGGTCCGCAAGTCAAAAGAAATCAACGACAGATATTCTGGAGTCCTCCACTCCCTCTGCGCGCCATGCGAGGTAACAGTTGAGACTAGGGGTCACCATCACAGGCCGGAGTGAAAGAGGTACACCCCTTGGTTCAATCTTGGTACTTCACAACGCAAGCAGAGACAAGGTCATCTGGCACAGAAAAAGAGAGAAAAAAAAGGAGACAGAGAAAAAGACAAAAAGAGAAGAAGAGAAAAAGGAAACAGTAAAGAGAAAATGAAATAAAAAGAGCGAGGAACAACAAGGGACCAGGCTGAAAAAAACAAGAAAAAAGAGACAAAAAAGGCACACGGTGTAGACCACTAACGAATGAGCAAATACGCAAACATGGCCACCAACCAGCGATACATTGTAATGGTACGTCATCACTAGTGGGGGGTTGGTGCAATGGTGCAGCGTTGGGGGGGGGGGAGTTGGCCAAAAGAAATTCAAACCGGCACGTATCGCGCCACTACTCCGTATGTTTATCCACAGCAGTATGAAACTGAGGCCAGCAACGCCGGAGGATGGTGGAGAAACAAAGGAGCACCTGCTGGCTCAGTGTGACCCCGGCCGGTGCATCCAGATGCTGCTATAATGCTGTAGACCGGTTCATACCATTTACAGCAGTTACAGCCCGGCTCTTCGCCTACGAAATTTGGCGCATGGGTTAAACGAAAAAGACGGCAGAAGAGGCGGGAAAAGACCCGGCCGCAAGACCCAACCTCACATCGCACCACCACGTATAGCGCCCGCCCTACCTTATTGATGGTCGGTTCAGGACTGCTGTACGCCCCTCGTCTGTGTGCGGGCTTCTTCCAGGCTGGTCGTGGTTACTGCTGTGGGTAATTTTTGAAGAGCGCGCACTGCTCTGTGGACGTTTTGCCCGTGCAAGATCCAGCCTGACGTCCGTAGCAGATGGTATGGCAGATGATATTACGGTAACACACAAACACAGATGCATTCACGACTCGAACGTTTTTCCCCGCCGAGTTGTTTTGTCTTCTCTTCGTCCTATTCTGGGCGCCAGACTTGCCGCGTTTGGTTCTGTGTTTGACACACCAGCAGGGGTACCACACGAGGAACTGTAACTCTTCATCTGTCGACTTGTCCTACTACGGTGCTTAACTTCAGTTTTGAACACGAGAAGGGTTCAGCAGTCCCTTCCCTCTTTGTTCTAGGCCCAGCCGAGAACCTCAAAATCAAATTAAACATGTCAGGAGACAAGAGGCGGAGGTAGGCTCTGACCCAAAGATTGGGCATTTGCTTTTCCGTTGCTGGCGGCACGAGGCGTAAGCAATGTCATGACGTTACATAAATACGAATCTGGTATTGCGGACGAACGGTGTCATAACGGCACATTCATACGCATACGCAACTCTTGTCTGCCCGTCGTCGGGATGGATACGTGCCCAGTCGGGGCCGCACCAAGTGCGCTGACAGCCATCATTCTCGTAAACCCCGTCCTAGTCTAGATCTCAGCTTTTTTCAATCTTGACCGTATGTTTGTCTCAAGCAAAGAAATTGCTTGGTAGGTACTGTGTACGGGATGTGTTGGGAAAAAGAGGGTGGCGTGCTGCGATGGTTAGCTCTGTTTCCGGCGTAGGCTGATAACCAAGAGGCAGGGCCTGCGGATATTCTTCGCTTTACTGCTGTACTTGTGCCACCCCGAAACACGGAATCACGAACATGAAAATCAGTAGTGTACGCAAGGATGTCGTTGCCTGACGCCGCAGCGCTTATCAAAGCGGACCAATTACACCTGATGAAGTGCAAAACTGCTGTCATGCGTCGTCAATTGTTTATAAGCGACTAGGCGCCGGACATCGACCGATTGAACTCGGTACAAAATGTTGATTGCTTGAGTAGGGTTATCCGATACAGAGGTATCACGCAAGGCAACGAACACATGGATGAGCGATAAGATGGTTTTCGTTCTAACACGCTCGCTGGCTTTAGCCGGAAACATTGAAACGTTCCCTTCAAAAGTGAAAAATCCCACCTACAGCATTTCATGTAGACTAGAGGATCCACCTACCCAGCCAGAGTGGAGAATTTAACAGTCCCCCAGCTGCCTAAGACGCTCGTAATCGGTCACGCGCAACCTCCGTTTTTTTGTAGATCTGCTTGCATGCGAAACACACGACCTGTATGCGACAGCAAAACCGTCGAGAGTGCGAAGTCTGCTTTGACCTCGAGCCATCCACCATTGGTATCTTGAGTGGGCATGGAGCATGCTCCTGCTAACCTCTGTTGACTACCCATTTATGATTGTGTCTTGTGCGCGCGTTGGTCGCAGAATATTGTGAATATCGTGCGTACCCATGGTTGACGAGCAAACGATCGCGCAGATCAAACATGTTGCAAACGTACGTACGCGTGGCATTGGCTACGGACTGCATTGTCGGCATCGGTTTGATGTGAGCCAAGAACTGAGTTGCTTTGTTTTCGAACATCACAGGGAAATAGATAGTGCCCCTCGAGGTCGGAAGAGATTGAGAATACGCCACACGTGAATAATTGCACATACATTGATGGGGTCAGAGGGAGGATTGCCTATGGTCGATATTACTGCGGTGAATGTACGGGCTTTGCTGCACGTATGGTTGACGACTAGTGATATCATGAAAAGACTGTGTCTTGCGCGCGGATGACTACGGCCTTTGATGTGACTATCCGCAAGGGATCGATTAGTTTTGTAATTTCACGTTCGTGAGCAACACAACATTGAGGCAGACAGAGCACACCATTCTGGTGGGCGATGCCAGGGAGTAACACCTGACTCGGTTCTTGATCTTCAAATCCGGAGAAAGAACGAACACAACGCCTGCCTCAATTTTTGTTTGAAAACAGAAAATAGCACGCGAATACCGGAATGCCGCTCCCTGCTGTTTTTTTTCTTTGCCAATAATGGTAGAAGATGACGTCACGCACGTGGCCGCTGGCCCGTATATTTTGCTGTTCACAGTCATAGGTTCATACCGCGCGCACTGAGTACCTCATGTGCCGCTTGTGCAGCTCTACCGTAGTACCCGCTGACACCTCCCTAAGCGTGGGCCATACAAGTGAAGGTCGCTATGTAATTGCACGCTAGGTAGGCTCGTCTATTGCGCCCTTACGCATTAAAGAGGCAGCGACCAACTACACGCTTCTCATCCTTCTCTCTCGTCGTGTTGACTCCTGTCACATGTTGACGCATGCACTACTCCCTCACTCGGATCACGCGGTCGAAAACGCCGATCGCCACGAAGCCTTTAAGAAACGGACGCCCCGCTCTTCTCTAAACTATTGTTATTTAATTAGATGTGCGTTTGCTGGTGATAGGCTGACCCGGAGAGGTGTAGTTTAGTAACGCGAGAGCTGTTTTTTCTTGCCAAGCGGTGGGTTTTTCTCCCCTAGAAAATACAAGATACTGCTGCTCAGAAATACAGGCTCTCACAATGCAGGCCTATCATACGGCCATCTACATCTGGTACAGTATGGTTATCTCAAAGGGGCGCTGTGATCGGCGTCCTCAACAAATGTGGTTGTGATGGGCTGAGGGAGCAAGACGGGGTGGGTAGGGTGATGTGTCGTTTGGAACTTTCACAAACCCAATGTATAACAGCGTGTTGTCCAGTGTTGTTCCACCGTCAGACCACTCTCGTATTTCCGCCACGTGGTCTCTGACACACCCACGAGGTTTTTTGTGTCCTGCAGTACCGCATGAAGCCCCACGGGTTATCTCAGGGTGCACCTCGCGAATCAACTATTCCTCCAAAGAACAAACTGATTACAACCAACGTTTGCCCTGATGTATGTGTTGTCCTTTTCCGTCGCTTATACACCAGGGTTGGATGGTCCCGAGCGAACTGTGTGGAAACGCCCCAAGAAGTACGACCAGTCTCTCATTGTTGATCCAAGGCTGACTTGTTTTCGGAGAGCAGTGGTTCAGTTTCTCGGCTACAAGTTTGTGGATAGTGACGTCAGGGGCATGGCCACTGCTGTGTCGTCATGCGGATTATTCCAAGACGCTCTGACCTGCCACAAGGTGGAGCATCCATCGGGTCTAAAAACATGAACATCTCCGCACGCAACGCCATGGAGCAACATTTTTCAACCGTGTGTTCCTGTGAGCTCATCGTTCTTTGTTTTTGTATGTACCATGTCTCAGATGTATGCAAACAAGAAAGCGACACGGACGAGCCAAGTTCGAGGAGTGCTCTTGCGGAAGGTGGGTGGACGACTGAATTTGAGTACTGCTGGAGGTGTCGTGCACGGTTCCGGCAGTAGGCCTTGAAAATGAGACGCCCGGGCGTGCGTGCCATCGGACCCTCATGAACTTTCGCTCTATCAACAGCTGGGTGTTGGCGGTGTTCTCGTTGCGTGTTGAAGCCGACTGGTCAACCCTTGAGGTGCGTTTCTCGCCAGAACTAGCTGCGAAGCTTCGACGCTACATTCGAGGCGTCGTCAGTCCGTCGCGTCAGGCGAATGGATCGTTTCAAGCACCAACTTGTAACCGACCCAACAAACGTGCATCGCTGTGGGTTGGCGGCACTGCAGGTGAACAAGGGTATCGACTCTTCCATCCTGCTCAGGGACGTCATCAACGGCAACCCGGTCGAGCACCACATTCCACTATTCAGCCCGTTGATCCAATCCGTCGAGGTGGGTGGTTGTCCAGGGGTAACCCTGTTGCGCGTTTGGTTGCATGCATGCATTACGGCACATCGTGCAGGACGAGCAAGGTGAAGAGAAAAACGCATCTTGTACGATGACCCCCTCCTATGTGACCCCGGCCGATGCGTCTAAACAAAACACGCCAAAGGTGTAAAACTGATGTAAAACTGACCGTGCGAGTAAATTGGGTGACCACACACGCAATCCAAGATATCTTTCGTCCGTTTCTGCATGCACTGTTTAGTTGATCATCAGCGCATCTAAACCATGATGTCCATCGCCGCACTCCACCTTTGAAACTAATAATAACATGTTTCAGGTGATGGAGACGGCATTCATATACCAGGGCAAGTTGAGGGGCAAGCGTGTACGACCGGCGCGTATTTACTACATTCGGGATCTGGACCAGAAGCTTTACCGAATCACTGGAGGCGGTGGATCGGATAACTAGCTGCAGGGCTTGGCACTGTGTTTTTGGAACGCTCATAAGTAGGGAGTGACCTCGATGTCTTACAATTCGGGGGCATCGTTAGCGTAGGCCACGTTGGGAGCAAACGTTATCACAATACGAAAATACCTGCCTTGCCTTGTTGTACTGCAAATGTTTCACGTCCGTCTTTGTCTTCCGGGATCTGTCGTAAACGTACCGTTCCACGAGGTCTGAAGAGGAACATAAATGACAATGTTCGAGCGTATTTATGACAGCTACTAACTTCACCTGGACTGTAACAGCCACGGGTGGCTCACCACGAATATATTCGTGTAAACACCACACCTTTGTTCCGAACCGAACATAGCAACGCGGATCTCACATCCCCTCCGCCCGCGTCCCTTGAGGGTCTTCGCCCGGGCGATGCTTTGGGTGCATTCATGCGGCAGGCGCCGAAATCGCCGTCTTCATCACCATCAATCAACCACAGGAGTGCACAATAACGGCAACATCAAATGACAACAGCTTAGGCTCTGCATTTTTGCGGTTACGTTAACATTTCAGGTCACGAAACATCCTTCCCCCCCCTGTCTTCTCTACGCAGCGACAGAAAAGTCTAAGACACCCAACATCTTGATCTGCTGGTTTCAGTGGAATCCCCTGTTGCGTCACGGGCGTATCCGCCCCATGTCATTTCTCGCTCTACCCTCTTCGATCGCCGACAAAACCTCTATCGCTGCCTCTGTGATCCGCGTTCCCGGTCCAAAGATAGCTTTCACCCCCGCCTTCTTCAGGAAGTCGTAGTCTTGGGGGGGAATGACGCCCCCGCACACGATGATGATATCGCCCGCACCAAGAACTCGAATAGCCTCGATCAACTGCGGGATGAGAGTCTTGTGCCCAGCGGCCTGCGAGCTCACGCCCACCACTAGGGCGGACAAGAAGGACAGAGGGAAGGCAAACACGAGTTATTTACCACCGTTGCGTGACATGTGACGCACCACATACCACCGTGCGTGTAGGATTGGAGTCGAACGGCAAGGACGTAATTACGCACCACATCACTAACTGGCAATGATGTTGTGGACCCCGGCCGACGAAAGCTCCTTGTACCTCAAGTAAGAGATTGGTGCTGACTACAGCAGTGCCGATAGACCGTGGCCACGGCTGCAGAAACAACGAATACAGTCAGCGCGTGTGTCAGCGGGGACGACGAAAAATCGTTCAATATCCGTGGAAGTTTCATTCGCATGCCCTACCCCTTGCCCGATCCGGTCTAAAATGCTGATCTCGAGCTACGGTGCAAATCTCGTGGCGTCTTGAGTATGGTTCGGTGTGGAACCGCAAATCATGAGCCGTTCCCGAGTTTGAGTAATTTCTGCCTCCTGTGGCCGGCAACAGCCGGCCTTGACTGTTCCTTGCCTGTTTCGGCATGGAAACGGCCGGTTGAACAGCGAAAGCGGGTCCTGCGTGCTGCGCGCCACATTTTTATATATTTTTTCGGTTGTTCTTGAGTGACCATTGTACACAAAAAGGCCGTCGGGCCGGACGACCTACCGGCTGAGCTGATCAAGCTTTTCCTGGACGGAGATCAAGGTCTCCTCCGCGAGTTCCACGACATTGTCGTGGACGTGTGGCAGACTGGGGACGTACCACAGCAGTGGAAGGATGCCACCATCAAAGTGCTGTTCAAGAAGGGGGACACGATGGAGTGCGGCAACTACCGGGGCATCTCTCTCGTCGCACACGCCGGCAAGGTGCTGCTTAAGGTCGTCGCTACACGACTAAGCCACTACTGCGAGCGAGAGGGCATCCTCCCGGAGGAGCAGAGCGGTTTCCGCCCACACCGGTCGACGCTCGACACGCTGTGCTCGCGTGCTTCGTCGACCTCACCAATGCATGAGATTCGGTGGACCAAGACCTACTGTAGGACGTGCTCCAACGCTTCGGCGTGCCCCCGAAGATGCTGGCGGTCATTCGCCACTTCCACGAGGGCATGAGGGCGCGCGTCCGAACGGACGACGGGCAGTACT